CTTCTGTTTGCTTTTTATTTCGGAATAAATGTATTTAGTCATAAAAAAAAAAAAAGAAGGGAGGGACCCTGCGGGCACATAGAAGAGAGAGAAACAGACCTTCACACCAAGCATGACAGGCATGAGGAACCTGCATCCACACAACATATGACTTTGAAAACCAGAGGGGCCTAATTTCATGAGTTCTTAAAATCAGTGGGGCCTAAGGCCTGGAACTTTAAAAAGTCAACAATCAACAGGCTCAGCTCTTGGAGAACTTGGAGGTCAGAGCCCCCACCCTTAAAGAGCACAGAAAACAGCCTAACAGAGATATGCCTGGCGTGTATCAGGAGATTTATTTACTGATCTCAAAGTGTATGCTGGAGTGGCAGGGATCTTTAGGAGACTTCTCTAGGAACAAAGGAGCTGGTGGACATCATTTCCTTCCCCTTCCCCCAGTATAGATATGTGGACACTTGGGGGACCCAGCTCAGTGCTAACAGTCTCTACCTAACTTGCCAACCTACCCTGCATTCTCCTGTGGATATGCCCCTCCAAGACGTCCTTGGACAGAGCTTATCCAAAGTGGTGCCACAAGCATGGCGGTGTACAAGTAGCCCTGACAGGGCCAGCAATACTTCAAAGTAACTCCTGCCCTGGAGGAAGGGGAAGACAACCACATAGCAGTCCGACTTCAGCCCCAGCAGTGGGCTAGGGGCAGACATCAGATTTGACTACAGACCTTGCCCAGAACAGAAACTTCTCAGGAAACAGGGAAAGTGTCCCATGGTACTATATCTGGCAAACACGTGGCCCGACTCAAGTGCACTGTGGCCCCATACTGACCCACTAACAACACAAGGATTGATCCCTGTCCACAACAGGCGAAGAGCCATTGGAGATTATTACACTGAGGCAAAAGTGGCTCAGGCACAATAGTAGGGCATATGTAATACAAATAGACATCCATGAAGTGCCAGCTTCTGTTCAACAGGGGCACTGGAGTGCAGGGCACAACAAGACCTCTTTTCCATAAGGCCACTGTTTTCAAGAGCAGGAGACGTAGCTGACTTTACTAACCCATTGAAACAGAGTTCAGTGCTCGCTTCAGCAGCACATATACTAAAATTGGAACGATACAGAGAAGATTAGCATGGCCCCTGTGCAAGGATGATACGCAAATTTGTGAAACGTTCCATATTTTTTTGATTTATTTTTCTTCAATAAAGTTGCATAAACCAAAAAAAAAAAAAAAGAAATAAGAAAGAAACAGTTCAACAAAATGAGGAGACAGAGGAATATGACCTGAATGAAAGAACAGTACAAAAATCACAGCAAGAGAAATTTAAAAATAGAGATGAGGAAAACAAAAACATAAATGCTGCAAAATCTTTGGGATGTAGCAAAAGTTGTTCTAAAGGTAAATTTAGAGCAATACAGGCCTGCCTCAAGAAGCAAGAAAAATCTCAACCTAACCTTACATGTAAAGGAGGTAGAAAAAGAACAAACAAAACCCAAAACCAGTACAAAGAAGGAAATAATAAAGATCAGAGCATATCTAAGGGAAATAGAAATTTAAAAAAAAACAATAGGTCAATGAAACTAGAAGCTGCTTCTTGGAAAAGATCAGCAAAACTGATAAACCTTTAGCCAGGTCATGAAAAAAAAAAAAGAAGAAGAAGACTCAAAATCAGAAGTGGATAGAGGAGAAATAACAACTGACACCACAGAAATATAAAGGATTATGAAGGATTATGAGAGTATTATGGAAATTTATATGCCAGCAAATTGGACAACCTAGAAGAAATGGATAAATCCCTAGAAACATAGAACCTCCCAAAACTGAATCAGAAGGAAATAGAAAATTTGAACAAGTGATGAAATTGAATCAGTTAATCAAAAGACTCAACAAACAAAAGTCCAAATGGTGAATTCTACCAAACATCTAAGGAAAAGTTAATACCTTGTTCTCAAACTATTCTGAAAAAAAGAGGAAGAAAAGCTTTCAGATCATTCTATGAGGCCAGATAAAGACCCCACAAAAGAAGAATCACAGGCCAATATTTCTGATAAACATAGATACAAAAATCCTTGACAAAATATTAGCAAATTGAATCCAACAATAAATTTAAAAAAATCATTCACCTCTATCAAGTGGGATTTATTCCTGGGATGCAAGGGTGGTTCAATATTTACAAATCATCAATATGATACATCGGATTGATGAGAGAAAGGGAAAAAACATGATCATATTTTTTAAAAGATTTTTATTTATTTACTCATGAGAGACACACAGAGAGAGGCAGAGACATAGGGAGAGGGAGAAGCAGGCTCCCTGCAAGGACTCTGATGTGGGACTCAATCTCAGGACCCCGGGATCACACCAAAGGTAGACGCTCAACCACTGAGCCACCTGGGTGCCCCTGATCATTTAAGTAGATGCAGGAAAAGCATTTGACAAAGAAAACATCCATTCATGATAAAAACTCTCAACAAAGTAAGTTTAGAGGGAACATACTTCAACATAATAAAGGCCATATATGAAAAATCCACAGGTAATATCCTCCTCAGTGGTGAAGAACAGAGCTTTTCCTCTAAGGTTAGGAACAAGACCACTTAACACTTCTATTCAACATAGTACTGGAAGTCCTAACCAGAGCAATCAGACAACAAAAAATAAAAAGTCATCCAAATTGGTTAAGAAGAAGTAAAACTATTACTATTTGTAGATGGCCTGATACTATATACAGAAAACCCTGAAGATTCCACCAAAAAAACTACTAGGACTGATAAATGAATTCCAGAAGGTTGCAGGATACAAAATCAATAAACAGATCTGTTGCATTTCTATATCCTATCAATGAAGTAGCAGAAAGAGAAATTAAGAAGACAATCCCATTTAAAATTATACCCAAAATAATAAGATATCTAGGGATAAACTTAACCAAGGAGGTGAAAGACTTGTACTGTGAAAATGAAAACATTGATAAAGACAACTAAACAAATAGAAAGATATTCCATGCTCATGGGTTAGAAGAATTAATGTAGTTAAAATGTCCATACTACCCAAAGCAATCTACAGATTTTAATGCAATCCTTATCACAGTACCAACAGCAGTTTTTCATAGAACTAGAATAAGCAATCATAAAATTTGTATGAAACCAGAAAAGACCCTGAATAGCCAAAGCAATTTTATGCAGGAAGAACAAAACAAGAACAATCCCAGATTTCAAGAATTACTACAAAGCTGTAGTAATCACAACAGTATGGTACTGGCCAAAAATAGACACATAGATCAATGGAGTAGAATAGAGAGCCCAGAAATAAATCAACGATTATATGGTCAATTAATCTTTGACAAGGAGGTGAGAATATGCAATGGGACAAAGATTGTCTCTTCAGCAAATGGTGTTGGGAAACTGGACAGCTACATGTAAACAAATGAAACTGGACCACTTTCTCACACTATACACAAAAATAAACTTAAAATGGATTAAGGACCTAAATGTGAGACCTGAAACCATAAAAATCCTGGAAGAGAGTACAGGCAGTAATTTCCTTGACATTGGCCATAGCAACATTTTTCTAATATGTCTCCTGAGGCAAGGGAAACAAAAACAAAATCAAACTATTGGAACCCAGCAAAATAAAAGACTTCTGCATAGCAAAGGAAACAATCAACAAAACTAAAAGAAAACCTACTGAAAAAAACTACTGAATTGGACAAGATATTTGCAAATGATATATTTGATAAAGGGTTAGTATCCAAAATACATAAAGAACTTATACAACTTAACACCTAAAAAATAAATAATCCATTTAAAAAGGGGCAGAAGACATGAATAGACATTTCTCCGAAAAAGGCATCCAGATGGTCAACAAGACACATAAAAAGATGCTCAAAGTCACTCATCAGGGAAATGCAAATTGAAACCACAATGAGATACCACTTTATACCTGTCAGATTGGCTAAAATAAAAAATACAAGAAATAAGAAGTGTTGATGAGGATGTGAAGAATAAGGAAGCCCTGTGCACTGTTGATGGGACTGCAAGCTGGTACACTCCTGTAGAAAACAGCAGGGAGGTTCCTCAAAAAAATTAAAAACACAATTACCATATGACTCAGTAATACCACTACTATTTACCCAAGGAATACAAAAATGCCAATCAAAAAGGTACATGCATTTCTATCTTTATTGCAGCACTATCTACAATTGCCAAATTATGGAAGCAGACTGTCCATTGATAGATAAGCTAATATTTCACACACACTGGAACATTACTCAGCCATAAAAAAGAATGAAATCTTACCATTTGCAACAACATGGACAGGTCTAGAGGGTACAGTGCTAGGTGAAATAAGTCAGAGAAAGACACTCATATGTGGAATTTAAGAAACAAAGTGAACAAAGAAAAAAGACAAACCAAAGAACAGACTCTTAACTATATAGAGGACAAACTGAAGGTTATCAGGGGAGGCGGGTGGGAGAGGATGGGTAAAATAAGTGAAGGGGATTAAGAGTACACTTACCCTAATGAGCACTGAGTAATACATAGAATTGAGGAATCACTGTATTGTACACTTGCAATGTTAACTATACTGGAATTAAAAAGAAAATATTCCAGTTCTTTGGGATAAAGTTGGGTAGGGTAGAAAGGAGGAGCTTTTTTCACTTTAACTTGTATCTGTATGTAATCTCATTACCACACTGCTATTTTTTTAAAAACTCAACAAGGGATGATCAGAAGATTTTGGACTTTTTTTTTCTTTATTAATACTAACCTTTAATTAGAATACAATAGCTTGCAAATACATAAAGTGAAAATGGCTAGTAATGACAAATGTATCAAATTTCTTAGATCATGACAATAAAAAATCTAGTTTCATTTAGATAAGTAAAACTGATAAAGCCTTTACTCCTACAAATATATTTTTCAAAATAAAATATCTTCTAGTGTATTTATATGATGATTTTATAACTGTTCATTATTAACTTTTGGTTGTATCTTCCTTGCAGCAATTTTACCCTCTCAGGAATGGAAACCTCCTCTTCCTGCTTATGATTTTCTAAGTATGATGGATGCTACAGCATCTCAACATCCCACAAGGAAAGATCCTGAGTGTACAAAAGAAACAGATGTGCAGGAGAATGATAAAAAACAACATGAAGATAAATCAGCAATCATAAAAGAACCAATTGAAACACTGAGAATAAAGCATTGGAATAGAAGTAATTGGTTTAAAGAAGGAGAAAAATCATTTAGGCATGATAAAGAGTTATAATGCTCTAAAGAGCTGGTTTCATAGAGCTGTGGAGAGCTTTACAGTCTTTTTAGTTTATTTGATAGACTGAAGAATTTATTAAAAAATATTAAATCATTTCAAGTTTCTACACCAGTGTTGTCCAATGGAAATATAATGTGAGCCATATATGTAAACTTGGAATTTTCTAGTAGTACATTTTTTTAAAAAAGTAAAAAATGAGCATGTGAAATTAATTTTAATCTTTCACCCAGTAAGTATACCCAAAATAGCTAAGTTAAGGGGATCCCTGGGTGGCTCAGCGGTTTAGCATCTGCCTTAGGCCCAGGATGTGATCCTGGAGTCCTGGGATCAAGCCCCGCATCAGGCTCCACGCATGGAGCTTGCTTCTCCCTCTGCCTGTGTCTCTGCCTCTCTCTCTCTCTCTCTGTCTCCCTGTGTGTCTCTCATGAATAAATAATTTTTTAAATAGCTAAGTTAAATAAAAATTGAGATATTTTACATTTTTTCTGTCAAGTCTTCAAAATGCAGTGCATATTTTACCCTTACTGTACATTTCACTTCAGAGTAGCCACATGTGGTGACAACTGTATGAGTTCAGTTCTACACAAAAACTGGTATAAATAATTTAACTTAGTTCTAGCTATGAATTAGAATAAAAATGCAACTCTAGTTTAATCACAGCTGACTCCACAATTGTATCACATAGCTGGAAATAGTATTTGTTTTGTTGTAGACATGATGTTAAAACCAGTGTTTTTAAACCAGGGAGCAGTTTTGCCCCCCAGGGGACATTTGGCAATGTCAAAAGACATTTTTGCCTGTTATGACTAGGGGTGTTACTGGCATCTAGTGGGTAGAGAGCAGGAATGCTGCTACACACTATCATGCATTGGACAGCCCCTCATGACAAAGAACTATCCTGCCCAAATGTCAGTAGTGCCAAGGGGGGGTAACCCTGTGTTAAACTAACCTATGGTAGAATGTTCTTGTTCTGCTCAGTTATGTCTGAAAAAATCTCAAATATAAATATTAGGTGAATAAATCTCAAATAAAAATATAATCTCAAATATAAATATTATCAAAGATAAATATTAGGTGGTCTTATCCTGATTATTATCTGAATATAACCATGTCTTTTATTATAAATTCATTTTTATAGTACTTTTGAAAGGTGATGAGATAACCCTAAAAAGGATATAGAATTACATATGCATGGTTATATATGTATTATACATGTACGTATATATGTACATATATGCATTATATATCATATATAATATACATTATGTAATATAACTTAAAACTAATTATATCATATAAATACATATAACTCGAGTGTATATATAAAGGCATATGAGATAAAGATATATATGTATAAAGGTATATAAGAGAATTTTAAACCTGTACTTAATTCTACAAGTTATATTGCTAAGTTGAAGAGGAATTAGACATTCTGCTATCCTCTTCACAAAAAGAGAAGCTCCCTCATCTGAAACATGTATGAAATGTACCTTTGTAAGCTTTGGACAAATCAGTTGGTCTCCTCATCTGTATAATGAGAGGAGAAGCCATAGGGCCTCATCTATATAATGAGAAAGATTAGCCAAAAAAAAATAATTTTTAATTTTAAAAGCACTTACTTGTCAGGCTGTTCTGTTTGTAGCAGTTTGTCTCATTTTCACTCCATGCATTTTTTTTTGAGACATTTGCTGAGAACATCCTACTTGGTGCTCTACTATATTTTTCCCTTTTATTACCTACTTCAGGTGTCTTGTTCTTGAAATTTTCTGCACATACAATTTGCCTAGTACAATTGAGTTCATAAAAAAAGCAAAAGACAGCTACATTTCATTCTAACATAGATCATTTGCTACTGTTAATACCCTCTCCTTGATATTTTTCCTCTAGCATGTAATGCATATTATTTCAGTTCATATGAACTATAAATCTAGTTTGTAGTACTGAAACATTAACCTAATCACTAGAAAATGCTAATTAACTATAAGCACACAGAAACTTGAAATTGATTATTGTACTATAGCCAGAAATTTTGACAGTTGTTAATAACATGTTCTTTTAATAATTTTAAATAAAATGTCTAGATTTCAGGCTTCCTTCAAAAACTTCTTTTAATCTGTGTCATGCCCCATATTGGACTGCCTACCTGTATTAAATGGATTTCTTCAGAAAGGTTGCAAGCAACAGAAACTTAAGCAAAATGGGAATGTTGGATAATTCACAGAGTTAGAAGAAAAAACACGCCATGTTTTAAGAAGGTAGGAACCAAGGCTATTCTGGGATCCATGTGTGAGGAACTAAGAGCTCAGTGATGAATCAGTTCCAATTGTTTTTCTATGTTTTGTGACTCAGGGAATCCTGGGAAACTTGCTTAGGGGAAGGGTGGACACTTTAACTGGGAGCCCTCACCAGATTTCCACAATGCAGAAAAGGTAAATCTCACAAAAGAAATCTAGATGCTGGGGCACCTGGGTAGCTCAGGTCATGATCCCGGGGTCTTGGGATTGAGTCCCAAATCAGGCTCCCCTCTCTCTACCTATTTCTCTGCCTTCTCTCTGTGTCTCTCATGAATAACTAAAATCTTAAAAAAAAAAAAAAGAAATATAGATTCTCTTTAGCAGAAAAAGAGAGTGAATGTAGAGAGGGTTTTCCCATGATACCACTTGCTGTTTTTCTCTGTTCTTTGTATCCTTTTCAGGTCTTTCTGCCATATCCTCCCGTTCATTTTTGAGAGCTTCAAAAGTCCTTTTTCTAACCCCAAATGGTTTTAGCTTTCCTAAATGCCCCCTCAATCTTCTATACGACATGGCCACCTCATATGTACATTCTGCAGAATATCTCTAATGAATCCGATTCTTTCATCGTCTCCTGCCTCATCTATGCTAGAAGGTAAACATTCTTGGTCCATTGCTTCCAGCTCTGGGATGAAACATTCCATGGACAGTTTTTCAAAATTCTTAGAGTTCTTCACCCAAACTTATGCTGCTTTAAAAGACTAAACCTGGCATAAGCAGAACAATGGAGTTTACAAATCAGTAAGTGTCTATCTTTGGTGATAGAAAGTAATCAAATAGATATACCTTGGGAGCTGTGCTTCTCCTTAAGATGTAAAAAACTGCAGGAGAATGTTACCCCCATCCTAACATCAAGAAAAAAATCATAATTTTTTCCTAATACTCATCAGAGAAGACAACTAAAGGAACTAAACAAGATCTGTCAAGGGGAGACAGGCTATATGAATGGTTTCCCCTTTGGCAGATAATAGAATACTAAAGCAAATAAATTATTAAGACCTTGGAAGAGTCTAAGATTTTTCCCTACCTTCAAGTTATGTTAGTGTGCCAGTTTCCTGAATCAGGAAAAGGACTTTATTACTCACTATAATAGCATTTATCAGGGTGTCAGTATTTGTGCTAGTTCCCTGATCCCCAATCCTACAGTGCCATCAAAAGAGGGACAGGTGACACCTGTACAAGCAGTGGGTCACATTGCAAGGGAGGAACCCTGAGCTCAGGGAACCTAAATATTTTGTAATAGCTATTAAGTATGCCTGCCCTTTCCTCTGGAGGGAGACATATGTATGATAGTGGACAGTGATCAAACCTATTTCTATTTTCCCAGGCTGAAGAGGAAGTCCAAAGCAAAGGCAGTCAGCTCTTCCATTCATAAATCACTCAGAAATGGGAGACTTTGGAAGAATTGTCTCCCAACCAGAATCAACTAAAATTTTAAAGTATTCTTTAAAGGCCAAGTATGGATGAAAATATAAGCTTGGAATAGGTGGGAACCCTGACATAACAATAGTTAACATTCATTCACTCAGGAGCTCCTTTTCACAAGCCTCCACTGGATACTAATGAGCACCCCCTAGGGCAGGAGCCTGGCAAGAAGGGATCCCTCAGACACAGATACCAGGTAGTGGTTAATAGAACGGTTTTGGGTGACAGATGTGAAATACCACCCACTTTCTCAGATCTTTCTCTTGTATAAGTAAAAGCCATTAGGCACTGGTGGACAGATAGCAAATCTTCCTGCCTGCAGAGCCGAGACAAACATCCACTGCCTTTGAGGAAATGGTAAGTGCAAAAACATTTGCCCCTGGGAGAGGCAGAACACCTCGTAGGCCCAGGATCCTGCCCCAGTACCAAGCAGAGATCTATCACTGGGAGAATGTAAGAACACTTCTGTTTAAGAACTGTAATAAATGTCTTTGCCATGTTTAACTGCCATGGAAGAGGAGTTAGAAATTCTCAGAAGGTACTACCACAGCTCCAGGGACACAGACCCTACCTAAATCTAAGGATAGGCCAGGGGACCCAAGAACTTCTACCCTCCTACTCATCATCAGCTCAGGATCAAATAACAACTTTGGGAAGCACAAGATTGTGGGATGACACAGGCAACCAGGAGTTGCTGAAAGCTGAGGGCGGAGATGGAAAATGAACCTTCCTGCACCTGGGTCTGACTCAAAGTACAAGATGATAGCAGCTCATTCCTGAAGGAACATGTAGACCATAGTGCAACAGAAGTAAAAATAACAAAATCTAAACCAGTTTCAACTGACTAGATTTACACAGGCCTTCACACTAATGGCCAGGTGGAGATGTTATTTATCTATACTATTTTCCACAATATGTGTGGCATTCAGTTAAAAATTCTAAGACTAGGGGCACTGGGTGGCTCAGTTGGTTAAGGGTCCAACTCTTGATTTTAGCTCAGATCATGATCTCAGGGTCATGAGATAAAGCCTCATGTTGAACTCTTCATTCAGCGAAGAGTCTTCTTTTCTCTCTCTCTCGCCTTTTGTCCCTTCTCCCCCTCTCAAATAAATAAATCTTTAAAACAATTCTAAGACTAAAAGAAACAGCAAAAACAATCCATTGTGAAGAGATGAAACACATCCCGGATATTGGAACTGTGAGGCCATGACCATAAAATAACTGGGATTTATGTGTTAAAGGATTTGATGGAAAAGATGGGCAACCTACCTGAACAATGGGAAACTTTAGCTGGTCTAGAAATGAAAAAAATATGCTAACAGCAATAAAGAATGCCTTTGATGGGCTTATAAATAGACTTGGCACAGCTGAGGAAAGAATCTGAACTTGAAGACAGGTCAGTGGAAATTATCCAGATGAAACACAAAGAGAAAAAAACAATAAATGAATAAAACAAGACATGATTCAAAAGCTGTGAGATAATATCAAACAGTCTAACAGACATGTAATTAGAATTCCAGGAGAAAAGAGAGAAAACAAGTATTTGAAGAGATAGTAGTTGAGAAATTTCAAAAATTAATGAAAGACAATAAGTCACAGATCTAAGATGCCCAGAGAACTGCAAGTAGGAAAATTTAAAGAGAAAACACCTAGACACATAATAGTGAAATTACTAAAAAACAAAGATAAAATCTTGAAGATAGCCAGAGCAAGAAACAGATTCCCATCCTCTTCTTTCTCTCATTCTCTCCTTTTTAAAAC